TGTATTTTGCTTCCCCACTTTTCTTCATCAGTGACTCATAACTTATCTTTATTTTCCTCTCTTTAGTTCCTTTCTTCTAAAATATATATAAGGACAGACAATAGGGAAAAAAGGCTTTTTGGGATAATTATTTGGAAATACTTCTTTCATTCAGACATGGCCTAAAATTACCAAAAACATTCATTTGACTAAAAAAAAAACATGTAAAATTCAAAAACCATTTTCAGTTTTTCTTAATCAAAAAATGTAAAAAGCAACATTAATATCAAGATTAAACATGCAAAGCACAAAATATTGAAAGAATTAAACATTAGAACAAAAGAATGCTATAATCCAGGCAAAAGATGACCATGAACTGTACCAAGACCATGGCTAAAAACATCCAGAAGGAATAGAAAAAAAAAAAAGACTCAAAAAAGAAATAAGTAATAAAAATCTTCTGGTACTTAAATTTATACTCTTAAAAAACTAGTTGTTTTGAGAAAGAAGTTACTTGTGTCAATGATAAATTCTCATCAAGCAATAAATGAAGTTGTTGGGAAAAAAATGCAGTGCTCTCAAGACAATGCTGTGGCTGTGGTATTTGTCCTTCAGTGTTATAGTTTATTACAGATAATCTCTAATTTCTTAGATTTTCATTTTTTCAACCATAACATTGTGATAGAATTGAGGACTACTTTTTAATGCATTAGAGTTAATAAAACTAAAATTAAAAAGCCTAAAAGGATCTTTAGTAACCCTATTATGAAAGCTTAAAAAAGAGTTTATTAAATTTCACGATAAGAAATATACTGATGAAAACATTAAAAACTGGTCTCAAGCTCAATGACATTCCATCTAAATCTATCATTAGTAGACATTTACATCACCCTTTACCACCAAAAATACCTATGTACACTTCTGCTTCTGTCAAAATAAAGTAGATGCATTTCATATACCTATTCCTCATGCTAAGTACAACTAAAATCCCTGGACACTGTATGTAATATTAGCATAAGAAGCTTCTGAAAGGTGGAGAGAAGGCAGACTGGCTGGAGACCTTAGGATCCTAGGAACGACTTGGTAATGAGCTCCCTGGGTTTTCATTTTGCCTCATATATCCCAGACTGGATATCTAGCCAAAGGACCAGGAAAAAGGCAGACTATGCAAGACTGAAAACTTTTAGGTAGTAACTACTCAAGTCAAACACCACAGAAAAAACTATGGCCCCACCACCACCCACACTAGCAAAGCCTACACTTTCACCTTTGCTGGGCTATTACAAGGTGCCCTGATCCTCCTGCTGGGGCGGTGTCAGAGAAGGCTGACTGGGGAGCCAGGACTTTTCATTCCCTCTGGAAAGTAACAAACCACATCCTCTGGTGTGAGTGGAGCCCATCTGCGAAGGCTGGACTTCTACTTCCATCTAGTGGTAACAAGGCATTCTTCCCCCTCCTCACTGGGAGAATGTCAGAGGAGGCCTAGTGGAGAGTCCGGGCTTTTACCACCGCTCAGTAGTAGCAAGGCCACATCTACAGGGGAGCAGTAAAGAGGTGCTCCTGCCCTTTCCCAGCCACGGGCTTATCAACAGAAGCCTAGTGGGCAGCCAGAACTCCCACTTTTGACTAGCAGTAACAAGAAGCCCTTCTCCCCTCCATGAGTGTCCATGGAGACTCTGAACTTCCAGTACTACCTGGAAGCAACAATGACCCAGAGTCTTAAAACATAATACCCAACATGTCCGGATCTCAATAGAAAATCTCTCATCAAAGCAAGAACCAGGAAGACCTCAAAGTGAGTAAGAAATAACAATCAACATGTGCCAACCCCACGAAAATGCAGAAGTTAGCATTATCTGACGAGCATTTTAAAGCCCATCATCATAAAAATGCTTCAATGAGCAATTATGAATTGCCTGAAACAAATGAATATTATAAAAAGTCTCAGCAAAGGAAAAAAGGATACAAAGAACCAAATGGAAAAAACACAGTAACTGAAATAAAAAATTTCATGGGATGGTTCAATAGCAGAATGGAGGGGATAAAGGAAAGAATCAGTGAATGGAAGATAGAACTCTAAGGATTACTCAATCTGAAAAACTGAGAGACAAAAGACTGAAAAAAAGAAATGAAGAGAGCCTCAGGGACCTGTAGGGCTATATCACAAAAAGACCTATGATTTGTGTCATCAGAGTCCTGGAAGGATAGGAGAAGAGAGGGCAGAACTGCAAAAGTATTCAAATAAATCAGAGCTGAAAACTTCTCAAATTTGGCAAAAGACATCAGCCTACAGAATCAAGAAGCTGAGAATTTTCCAGATAGTATAAATCCAAAGAAATTAGTTCCAAAACATATAACAGTAAAACTTCTGAAAACTAAAGACAGGAAAGCTTGAAAGCAGCAAGAAACAAATACCTTATCTGTAGAGAGAAAAACAATTCAAATGACAGTGGATTATCTGTTAGAAATCATAGAGACGAGAAAGAAGTGGCACAGCATTTTTCAACTGAAAAGAACTGTCAACCCAGAATTCTATATCCACCAAAATATCTTTCAGAGATGAAAGGGAAATGAAGACATTCTCAGATGAAAAAAAAGAAAAAACCCAGAGACTGCCACCAGCCGACTTCTCCTAAAAGAATGAATTTAGAAATTTTCTAAAGAGAAAGGAAATGATAAAAGAGGAAATCTTAGAACATCAGGAAGGAAGAAAGAATATGGTGGAGTAAAAATATGGGTAAATACAATAGACACATGGAGAGGGCACAGCTAAAGGGTATGGGGTTTCTTTTGAGGTGATGAAAATTTCTAAAATTGACTATGGTAATGGTTACAAATTATCTGTATTCATACTAAAACCCATTGAATTATGCAGTTTAAATGGGTGAATTGTATGGTATGTGAATTATATCTCAATAAAGCTGTTTTCAAAATCAGCATAGTGGTAGCCTGAGGAAAAGGGACAAGAGAACTTTCTGGGCATGATGCAAGTTTTATATCTTGATCTAGGTCATGGTAACCCAGGTGTATGTATAAATTGCCAAAATTAATCAAGCTAAACCCTTATAGTGTACCTACTCTTATGACAAATATACCTTAATAAAAATTACTAAGAATCTCAAATTTCCTCCAAAATGCTTTTACCAACTTATACTCATACCAATAGTATTCTAGAATTCAGGTGGTCCACATCTTACAAATTGTAATATTGATAACTGACAGGCTAAATATGGGGCCTTATTGTGGTTTGAATTATCAACCCCTTATTGTTAGCGAGGTTGTTCATCATTTCCATTGGGTTTTTTTTTTGATATTCATATTTTGAAAGGTAAGACTTTTCATACCATTTTACCAATGTTCTATGGCTTGTTTGAAATTTTCTTATCTTTTAGTCACTTATGTATGTTACAAATACCCTCTCTCAAAATGAGTCTTGTCTTCTTTATTGTTATGCTGCATCTCAATAATCTAGAAATTTATGATATAGTCAAAAGTAACATTTAATCATGTAGTTTGCATATATGTCTGTGTGTCTTTTAAAATAAATACTTCTGTAACACAAATGGTTAAGTTTGTCTCCTATATTGTCTTCAATCCCCGTGGAAGCATGTGCATGCATGTGTTAAGAGGTAGGAATCTAATTTTATTTCAAAGTTGTCTTTATTTTTTCATATGGCTAACTTATTTTTGTACCATTTATGATGGATTATTTCTGGATTCTTTTTTTCTGTTTAATTAATCATTTTTTCTATTTCTATGCCACTTATATACTGTCTTACTTTATAGTTTTATAATAAATCTTGATATCTAGAAGGGTAAAAAAAATACCCATTTATTTAGATTGCTAGTAAAATATAAGATAAAATCATGGTGTTTCTTGAAGAGAATGTTTTGTAAAGGTGAGGGTTTTTGTCTTCAAATTCCTCAGGTTTTTTTTATTGTGTCAAATTAGACACAAACAAGTTGAAAATATACATCTTTTTATTTTCCAAAGTAATTTTTAAGGGTGAAAATTATTTTTTTGCCCTTAACAATGTACACTTTTCCATTTTTGTTCTGCCCTCATCTAAACAATAATGACTATAGAGGTCTGCCAGTGGCACCTCAAATTTAGTTTCACTTTTAATTTTACACATCAGTTTGTTGTTTTTAATTGGACAGTTGAAAATTACAAATAGGAAGTCAGAGGAGTTTAGAATACCAATACTTCCATTGTCTTTACTTTACTTTGAAGAGTCTTTAATTTCTGTCTAGGAGTGGTCATATTTTTGACTGGATAGCTTCTACTTTCTTTTTTTTTATGTTTATAGCAACTTTATTCATAATGGCCTAAACCTGGAAGCAAGAAAGATGTCCTCTAGCAGGTGAATGGATAAACAGTGGTACATCTAGAGAATGGAATTATCACTCAGCTCACTATCAAGACATGAAAACTACATGGAAGGATTTTTTTTTTTTTTTTTTTTTGCGGTACGCGGGCCTCTCACTGCTGTGGCCTCTCTCGTTGCGGAGCACAGGCTCTGGACGCGCAGGCTCAGTGGCCATGGCTCACCGGCATGTGGGATCTTCCCGGACCGGGGCACAAACCCATGTCCCCTGTATTGGCAGGCGGACTCTCAACCACTGCGCCACCAGGGAAGCCCCCACATGGAAGCATTTTAAATGCATATTGCTAGGTGAAAGAAGCCAATCTGAAAAGGCCACATACAGTATTAGCCTCTGCTTTCTAGCCATTAACTGGGTACAAAATTGGTGGAATGCGACCTGGAAGAATTCTAGGCCAGATTTAAATAAGAGTGAGTACTTGCTTTCTTTGAATGTATTAATATATTTGAATATTTTTGAATGAGGGAGTCTCTATACTTATCTATTAATGGTTTAGACTTATCAACTGCTTTTTGTAGCTCTTTTTTGTTCTCTAGCTATTTTGGGAATTGAGAGTAAACTATGGAAATTATGACTATAGTAAAAGTTAAAAAATGATCCCATAAAACATTGAAATCCAGATAATTAAGACTTACCTCTATTTCTTTTCTTAAGTTTTCATGTGTCTTTTTTTCTTCCTCAAGAAAACAAGTTTTTTCAATGATGGATTCTTTTACAGTTATAATTTTATCCTTTAGGTTTGTAATGTCTTCCTGTATGTTTATAGAATTTAAAATATACACATCAAACAATGAATGGTCAATATAAATCCAAGATTTTCAGTGTTTCTATAATTTAAGAAAACTAGCCATCACATTTAATTTTGATAAATAGGATTAGAATATTACTTCTATAGGTACGAGGAACAAAGAATGGTTGTTCAAACAAGCAAACCTTAGATTTGAAAATATAGACCAAATGAAAATAAGACATAAAGGAAAGTGGTAGTCACAGGGGCAATTGCCCAGCTACAATATAAAGGATATTTTTAAATTCTTTAGCAAGGAATAATAGATATTTTAAGTTTTTATCTCCTAACATCTTCAAAGACTATTAAGAAAAAGATGCTTAGGGTACAATTATTAATTCATATTGTTTGTATAATAGCATTAAGCACACTAAATTGATTTTAATTGGTCTGTATCCATTAGCCTGGAAGCTAGAGTTTCAACATCTTTGTGAGTCACACTTTCTGTAACAAATGGATTAATTGTTCACTGTGATTTTGTTTGACTATATATTTTTATTAATCTATAAGGGATTTGGGGATGTTTCCTTCATGCATTTGCACATATGGCATAGTTGTTACATAACTCATGCACTTATACAAGTTTTCAAATTTGTGAATCGAGTTAGAGCACCCATGGGTATTTTATTAAGTTAATGATAAGTTTATCACTTAGTAAGTGTACTTGCAATAAAAGGAATAATAGAAAACATTTTAATAAGTGATATTTCAAACCTGTACTTGTTTCATCAGGTTTCCTTCTGGATTTTGGAGATCCTGCATAAGTTCCTCTTTCATTGTCTTTAGTTTTTTAACAAGGTCTCGTTTCTCATTGAGTTCAGTCATGAATGACCATTTGCTCTCTACCTCTCTCAAACTATCTTTATGTGCTTTTATTTTTGCATAGTATTCATTATATCTTATCATTTGTTCCTCAAAATCTTCTTGTGCTGCCTCTATGTCAAATTTAAGCTTCACATTTTCTGTATGTAAGGATTTGATTTGATTTTCCAGGTTTCCACACTGAAGTTTGGTAGTCTGTATGGCAGCATCTTGCTGATAAATTTGCCTTTCTGTTTCTTTAGTTTCTGCAGAGACAGATGCTATTTGTGTTTTAAGCTCATGAAGTTCATTCTGTAAGATATTTCAACATTATTATTATTAGTTCATGATATTCAACATGAAAGAAAAGTCATTGTTTTGATCCATAGTGTGTGTAGAAAAATCACTTAACATAAAAAATATATATTTATCAGATACAGAAAAATTGATGCATAACCGGAGACATGTAATATAGTAACAAAATTATTTTATAATCAGAGGGAGCCCAGGGTTATATATTTCTTATTTTTTAATGTTCATCTAATTCTAAATATTAAAATTTTATCCTTTGTCTTAATATTTTATATGTAAAAGATACTTTACAATCATTTTACTAATATATTTGTGGGCAATCAGAAGTACAAACTAAAGAAAAACTATATGATAAAAATGATAAAACCCTGAATTGAAAACACAAAAGATCTAGGTTCTAGTGTCCTTACTACTATTTACTAGTTGGGGTGATCATACATAACAAACTTAATTACCCTATTCAAACCTCACTGTCTTCACTTGTAAGATGAGTTTAAAGGTATATTTAGCTTTGCCTCTCTGAGGCATTTGGCATTTCTAACCAGCACCTCCTTTTTAAAACCTCCCAGCATTCTTCTCTTCTTCACCTCAGATATCTCTGAGCATTGCTTTTCAATCTCGATGGTTCCTTCAAATACAGGTTTTCCTCAGGATGCAGTCATCATAATTTCCTCCTCTCATTCTGTATATACTCCTTGGGTAATCTTATCCATACTTAGATCTTGAGATACATATATGCTAATGATTCACAGAATGTAAGTGGCTGTTAAGTCCTATACCCAGCTGCCACTGGCCATCTCAAATTCATCGTGTCCAAAAATCAGACTAATCCTCCCCTCCCCGATCCCAACCTGCTCTCCCTTGTATCAGTCACTTATTGTCAGAATCACAAAACCTCCGTGACATATAACTAGTGTTTATTGCTCATGTGATAAGAAGCAACTGGGCTTGGCTAGGTGGTTCTGTTGACTTTGGTTGGATTCCCTCAAATGTCTGGAAGTTGGCTGGCTGTAAGATGATTTAGGTTGGCTTCAACTGGGCCAACCGGGGTGCCTTGGCTTTGCTTCACATGTATCTTATCCTCCAGTGGGCCAGGACAGGTATGTCCTTCTCATGATGATAGCAGATGCAGAAGAATGGAAGCCCAATTATGGAACAACTTTTTCAAACTTCTGTTTGAATAACATCCCAGCTGGTCACATGATCAAATCTCAGTGGAGGGGTAGAAAGTATGTCCACCCATTATGGGAGGGCATTATAATGATAAATGGCAAAGGGTGTATACACGAGGATGAAGATTTGGGACTAAAAATGCAAATTACCACACCCCTATGTTCCCAAACTTAGTTAATGGTATTCCTTTGGGAGCCATATTTAATTCCTCCCTTTTCTCTCTTTTTTTTTTTTTTTTTTTTTTGTGGTACGTGGGCCTCTCACTGTTGTGTTCTCTCCCGTTGTGGAGCACAGGCTCCGGACGCACAGGCTCAGTGGCCATGGCTCACGGGCCCAGCCGCTCCGCGGCATGTGGGATCCTCCCGGACTGGGGCACGAACTCGTGTCCCCTGCATCGGCAGGCGGACTCTCACCACTGCACCACCAGGGAAGCCCCTCTCTTCTCTTTATATTTAACTATTCATCAAATTCTGTAGATCCTCCCACCAATAAAACTGTAGGCCTTTATCCTTTTTCTTCTATCCAGTATGGTCATCCTCTTTAAATGAATCTATAATTTGGGGAGGGAAGCACTTCACTAGAAAGGCAGACCCAGCCTATCCTTTTCTTGGCAGAGACAAGAGAGGGAAGTACACTGAAAAATACAGCGTGCTGGTGAACTTCAACCTCTATCTCCAGCTCTAATATTTAAAATGACCACTTGACAGTTCTATTTGGATATGTAATAGATGTCTCAACTACACAGGTTCAGGAAAGAACTTTTAATTTGCACACCCAACATGTTCCTCTTCCAGCTTTCCTGATTTCAATAAACTGTACCACTTTCCACCTGGACACTTAAAAACCTAGTAGTCATTCTTGATTCTTCCCTTTACCTTAACCCCCACAACCTATTTACCAACAAATCTTGATGGTTGGGCCTCCAAAATATATAAAATCCCAGCTCACTTCTGACCAGTCTTTGTAGCATAGTCCAGCTTCCAACTGGTCTCCTGTTTCCATGCTTCCTCCTCTCCCCGAACTAGACTCCATTTTTCAGGCAGAAGAATCCTTTAAAAACATAAATCATATCGTGCTACTTCCCTGCTCAAGATCCTCCAGTGGTTTTCCATTGCACTAATAATAAAATTCAAATTCTGTAATATGGCTTTTAAGGCCATACATGCTCTAATCCCTATCCACTTTGCCATCCCTCTCGTGTACTACTCTCCCCACTTCCAGCTTCCTTTTGTTTATGAAATACACCTAGTTCCTTCTCTCCTAAGGGCATTTGAAATTGTTCCCTGCACCTTAGAATTCTCTATCCCTAGCTATTACCTGCTGGGGTCTTTGTCTTTCACAATTCAGCTTTATTACTACTCCTCAGAACAGTCTTCCCTGAATCAAAATATAAATTAACTATCCACCTTCCTCCCCCGTTATTCTCTACACATCATCCTATTGTATTTCCTTTGTAACACCTCAATCAATGGAATTACTTTATATCTTCATTGCTTGCCTGCCCTAACTAGAAAGTAAACTCCATGGGTGCAGTAAACTTGTCTAACTTCTTTACCACCATCTGCCCTGTAGTTAAAATAGTACCTGGCACAAAGTAGGTGCTCTATAAATATTTAATAAATGAGTGAATGAGTGATGTACATGGAATGGTCAGGAAAGGGACACATGACCTGTCAACCAGATCAGGCTGTTGACCCTATTGATCAATATGGGGAGATGGCATTTACACTAATTTGGTCATCATCTCTTCTCTTTCTTAGACTAACATAACTAATAGACTGTTGACTTTTCTCCCTGGCTTTATTCAATTCCTCCTCCGATCCACTTCTACTCTTTCACTAGAATTTTATGTCTTCTTCTTGTTGTTGCGTCTCCCCCTCCTCCTGCTTCTCTTCCTCTTCCTCCTCCTCCCTCTCCTTCCTTCTTTCCTTCCTCTTTCTCATCTCCCTCTCCCCTTCTTGTTCCTTTCTTTGTTAATAGATTTATTGAAATATAATTGATATAAACTGCACATATTTAAACTTTACAATTTAATAAGTTTTGACTTAATTTTATGATCATGAGACTGTCACAATTAAGACAGTGAACTTATCCACTACCCACATGTCCAAATATCAGACATGTCCAAAAAAGTTTCCTCCTGATCCCTTGTGATCTATCCTTCCCTCCTCAGCTCTCTGTTTCCAGGCAAACATTCATCTGCTCTGTCACCAAAAATTAGTTTGCATTTTCAAGAATTTTATATGAAAAGAATCATACAATATATACAATTTTAGTCTCACTCCTTTCACTCAGCCTACTCAGAGACTCATCCATGTTGTTAGATATATCAGTAGCTCTTTCTTTTTATTGCTGAGCAATATTTCTTGTACAAATATACCACACTTTGTTTACTCATTCATCTGGTAGACATCTGTGTTGTTCCTGGTTTTCCAGTGGGCATACACTTTTATTTCTCTTGGGTAAATGAATAGCTAGAAATTGAATGTATGGGTTATATGGTAGATATATTTTAAACTTTTAAAAAACTGTAAACTATTTTCTCAAATGGTACATCACTTACATTCCAAAATAATTGGGTCTGAGAATTCCAGTTCTTTTATATCTGCACCAGCACTTGGTATGGTCAGTCGTTTTAAATTTACCCATTCTAGTGGGTATAGAATGAAATCTCATTATGATTTCAATTTGCATTTCTTTAATAATTGATGATACTGAGTATCTTTTCATGTGCTTGTCTTTTGCAATATCTTTTTGCATGAAATGACCATTGAAATCTTTTGCCCATTTTTAAACTGGGTTGTTTGCCTTCCTGAATTGTTAGAGTTCTTTATATAGTATAAATAAATTCAAGTACATTGTCAGGTATGTTTTCAAGTATTTTCTCCCAGTCTATGACAACCCAAATGCCCATAGGGCCCCAGCAGGTATACCTCATATTCATTTTCATAACAGTGCCTTTTGAACAGAAATAAAAACGTTTTTTAATGAAGTCCAATTTAAAAAATTTTTGTGTACTATTTAAGAAATCTTTGCCAAACCCAGCATCACTAAGTTTTTCTCCTATATTTTCTTCTAGATACTTTGTACTTTCAATTCTTGTATTTAGGCCTATGATCCATTTTTAGTTAATTTTCATATACAGTATGAGGTGGAAATTGAAGTTCACTTTAGCATGTAGCTGTCCTCCACCACTTGTTGAAAGATTATCATTTCTCTAATGAAGTGCCTTGGCACCCGTCTTAATCAGTTTGGGCTTCTATAAAACAAACAAAAAAACAAATAAAAAAACGGAAAAACACCATAGACTGGGTGGCATAAACAACCGACTTGATTTCTTACAACTCTGGAGGCTAGAAAGTCCAAGATCGAGGTGCAGCAGATTTGGTTACTGGTGAGAGGCCTGTTCCTGGCTTGCAGACAAACACCTTTTTGCTGTGTCCTCATATGGCAGAGAGAGAGGGAGG